TCTGGAGCATGGGAGATGTCTCACTGAAGCTATAACCTGAAAGAGAAGTAAACATTCATGAGGGGAGAGCTAGGAAAAGAGCATCCCAGGCAGAGACCAGCATGTGCAAAGGCCCTGGGGTAAGAAAGGGCTCGGTTGGAGCTGTGAGTTAGGGGATGGCAGGCCTGAAATTGGAGAGCAGATGGTGGCCTATTGTCTGTTGCTGGCCCATGTGACATGCTCTCAGTGTTTGAGCTGCTCTGATACTGATGTGGAAGGCCCAGGCTTTCCTGTTCTGGGATGATCAGATGCATGAAAGACCTGATTAAGTGATCTGCCTGTATCTCACTATGGTCTGGGCAGGGCCCCCCTCCTCCAGTGAATGAAAATTCTTCTCTTCTCAGCCTCCCTAGGGGTGGAGGTGAGGCATCCAAAGAAGCTTCCAGGCCTCACTTCAAAATGGCCTCTCCTTCCATCGTCTCTGTGTGGGAGAACTCGTGTGACAGAATGGTTTGATGCCCAAGCGACCGGAGTCTGAGATTTCGCGTGGCATCGATTCCTCTCTGCTCTTTCTTGGATGCTCTGGAGGTCCTGTCTCACAGTTAATTCCTCCTCCTCCTCCCCATTCTCCTTCCCTGCCCCAACCCCCGCTCCTTTTCCTTCTTTTGAAAATCTGTGCCAATGTCTAATGCATTGTGGGTGGCGTGGAGGGAATTCTTCACACCTCATTCGGGCCTGCTTCCCATTTCGGAAGCCTCAGAGTTTATATCCTGTGTCCCTCCCGTCCCGGGGCTGGACCCCCACCCCTCTCTGGTGGGGTGTGAGCCGCTCTGTTCGTTCCAGCTGCCTTGTGGCTGAGGAGAACCCTTCTTCTTTGATTTGGGGTTTCAGATACCCATTTAAAGAGCTCGCTTCTGTATATGAGTTTTTTCCCTCCCCAAGACTCTTAAATCCTCATTCCTCCCCAGCTCCAACAGCAGCCTGGTATGTGAGGCGGCGACACGGAAGGGAGACTGAGGCTCAGCGTGGGTGGTGGCAGGGTCATGGCCTTGCCTGCTGGCTGGGGGCTAGACAAGGTCACACGGCCTTCCAGGGCTGTTTCCTCTGTGGTCATGTGGAAAGGAGAGAAGGTTTCCATCCCCATGTGGGGGTGTGGTGATGGTTAAAGGGGAGGAGCTTTGGCACTTCAGGCCCTAGCTGCACACTCAGTTCTGTGGCCCTGGGCAGGTCACCGGCCCTCAGCTTTCTCACTTACAAAATGGTGATCCCAGCAGTGACTCTGCAGGATTATTATATTAAATATATCCCGGAGGCACTGTGTGGGGAGCCCAGCAACATGCGTGGCCTAAATGGTAGCTGCTCTGCCCCCTCTGCCATCTGGGATGCGGCTGCTTGTCGTGGGGACCCTGGTCCTTAATGGTGGAGACAGAACTGGGACCAGAACCTGGTCCCACTCCTGCACGGAGTGATGTGTAAATCCTCCGGATGGTAGCTGGATTGCTCCAGGATCCCTCAGCACAGTGACTGGGGGACTCTTGAGGGCACAGACCAAAGAACAGTCAGTCATCGGGACCCCCGCTCAGTGACGGCCGACCCCAAGCCCTCACAGAGCTGCCCTGCAGCCCCAGTACTGACTCGGAAATCCTTGCGGATTCCTCTTGATTTTCACATGGGGTGGGGGCATGTCTGTCCCCATGGCTGCCACTTAGCCAGGGTCTGTTGGGAGCCAGGCAGTGTGCTCAGTGTGGGACCTACGTTCTCCCTGATCTCCCTGAGCCCCCTGCAAGGAGAGCTCTGCTAACCCATTTCACAGAAGAGGGACAAGGCCACCAGGAGGGTCAGATTTGAGCCCAGGTCTGCTTAGCGCCAAAGCTCATGGCACTGTGCATGAAATGACGTGACCTTTCTTAAAGTGACACCCTTCATGAGTCTTCTCCAGCAATAGTTTTAATAGATGCTCGTCCACATCCCAAATCTCACACTTGCTGTCAGTCTTCCGTCAGCATTGACCAACCAATTTTACCATGGGCCGAATTGAATTTAACCAAGTTACCACTGTTGCAGAAAAAAGTGGATAAGAATCCTAAAATTTGTTACACACTGGTAGGGAGGGCAAGGTGGCCCATGTTCTGGATGTCTCACGCCAGTGTAAGAAGAGGGAGAATTTAGCAGTTAGACACAATATGTTCCTGATTTGTGCTAGGTAACTCCTAGGGTACTTTTTGGAAAAACCTCTGCCCATCTTTAATGCCTGTCTTGAAGGAGCATGGCATGAGGTTAAAAACTAGTGTATCCTCCTTAAGAGCCTCCTTCCATAGCTAGAGCATGCAGTGCTCCTTCCTGTCACAGGACCTTTGCACAGGCTGTTCATTGTGCCAGCAACACCCTTCCTCTCTCTGTCCTTTCCTTCCTGCCTTCCCTACTTTGCTTCACGAATTTATTCTTAGGGCTTATATTAAAGATTAATTCCTTAGGAAAGCACTACTGACCCTTTTCCATACTTCGGCATATGCTATTAATTATAGCAGTAGCCATGCCTCTTGAGGGCACCACTAACGATTATAGTTTTTTTTTTTTTTTTTTTTTTAGACAGAGTCTCGCTTTGTTGCCTAGGCTAGAGTGAGTGCCGTGGCGTCAGCCTAGCTCACAGCAACCTCAAACTCCTGGGCTCGAGCGATCCTTCTGCCTCAGCCTCCCGAGTAGCTGGGACTACAGGCATGCGCCACCATGCCCAGCTAATTTTTTCTATATATATCAGTTGGCCAATTAATTTCTTTCTATTTTTTATAGTAGAGACGGGGTCTTGCTCTTGCTCAGGCTGGTTTTGAACTCCTGACCTTGAGCAATCCGCCCGCCTCGGCCTCCCAAGAGCTAGGATTACAGGCGTGAGCCACCGCGCTATTATAGTTATTTTTGACTTGCTAATGTTGGCTTCCTCTACTAGATTCTAAGCTCCATGAAGGCAGGGGACACATTGGTCTCACTCAACTGTTCATGCCTAGTGCCTTGCACTTGCATAAGTGCCTTGCACCCAGCCAGCATGGGATGGATGAATGGGTGGTTGGATGGATGGATGGATGGATGGATGGATGGATGGATGGATGGATGGATGGATGGAGCTAGTTAATTTATTTTCCTTAACTCCAGCCAATACTTTCTTCTTAGCAAGAAAGGAGAATTGTGATTATCTGTTTATATGTTTCTCTTGAGCCATCTTTAGAAACCTAGAGCCTAGCCCCATGCCTTACGTATAGTAAATGGCCAATAAAAATTGACTTATGCCAGGCATAAGTCTTGCCCACGAGACAAGCAAGCAGTTCCAAGGACTCAACACTGCTGCAGAGGAGCCTGGAGAATTATTTTCACACAGTTGAGAGTAAAGATGGTGAATTTATTCATAGGAACCCCGTGCCATGATCTAGCTCCTTGATAAGGTCTGCTATTCAGGTTGCCAGTTACTGTATTGACTTATTTGTACATAAACAATTATTCTCCATAACCTTCTCTTCGCCAACATTCAGAGATAATGATATATAATCTTTCTAACATTACAGACATTGCTTCAAAAACATTCTGTTGCTATAGGAATGTTGGTAATGTGCTTATCTCTAGAATTTCATGAGCAGCAAACTCCAAAATTGCAGATGATTTAGCATTTGAAGCAGGGAGAGTGTATGTGTGTTTGCATGAAAAAAACAAAACAAACAAGACTTTGAAAAGGGAAGTTTTTCTTCTGCAGGGTTATCTTCTTCTAAAGTTTAAAATAAGAACTACTTAAAAGCTGAGAGTTTAGAGAAATGAGTATACTTTCTCTTAAACATTCAAATGGGTGAAAATGACTTGTAATGCCTCCCTCAAGTATTAAGGGAATCGGCAGTTAAAGGCTTTTTTTGGAGCTGGCTGTCACAGACAAAGGATTTCTCAATTTGAAAAAAAAAAAAATCATTTTTATAGCATTAAGTAGTAGGAATGAACACCGGCAGCCCTCTTGACGTTTTGAAAATGATTTATTTTCTGAAATGTCCCAGTCCATTTTAATAGATGACTCTTTGTTCTTGTCATCCCAGGAGGTAGCTGCGGCCGGGGTTGCCATAGTTAGGGTTGGGAAGTTCAGGGTGTGGGCGGACAGGGCACCGGAGCAGCTCTCTGTGAGCGTCACACTTTTTATTACCTGAGCACAACGGCAGGTTGGTGCCACCACCTACCTCCAGACAACCCAGAGCCACACGTGCCCAGAGTCCCTGCTGCGAGTCTCCCTCCTGGAGAGAGACTCTCCGAATGAACTTTCTGTAGTCCAGAAATGTGACTGTGAATGTGAAATCATTTTTATTTCTAGCCTCCCTCCCTGAACCAAGGGGACAGCCAGACATGGCCGGACAGTTGTGTCGCATACGTCTTTACCGTACGTTCCGCCGTGCTTCGTGGAATGGCGCTCTGTACGTGCCGGCCGGCCCGCAGGAGAACTGCAGAAATTGAGAGTAAAACGCCTAGAAACTTCCATACCGATTTGACAGAATAATCTATTGAATAATTTATAAAGTAGCCTTGTACGTTCTATGAACATCTTGTCGTTTTATTTTTCTAGCAGTTCACTTTATTATATTTTATGGAAATATTTATCTGTGATGGTTTGGAGACCAAAAACCAAACCAAAGGAGTCCCTGGTCCTTCGTCACGAGCAGCTGGGGCGGCTCCGAGCCTCGGCACAGGGGAGCTGGGAAGCACGCGGGCTGCTGAAGGGATTTGGGGAAATGGCAGCACTTACAAATTATATCATAATCAAACACGGCCCCCCTCGTTTTCTGGCAGTAGGGGCTGTGTGTAATTCGTCTGTGTGGCCTCAGTGCCTGGCACACCATAGGCCTTTTTGAAAATGTTTGTTGACCGCGTGCTTGCCTGCCTCCCCGTGACATGAGAGTGAGCGGGGCCGGCCCGGGGGTCCCGCTAGTGCCCCCCGCAGGGTGGTGATGGAGAGCTGGGAGCAAAGTGCCCAGGCTGTGACCTCTCTTCTCTCCCCACAGAGCCAGGCCTCCTCTTCCCGCCTGCCGAGCAGCATGAGAGCAGCATGACCGGCGGCCGGCCGCAGGAGAAGCCCCCAGAGCCAGGCCCCCCACTCAGCCGTCTGCTGCGGAGCTCAAGGTGAGCTTGTCTCCCCTCTGCTGGAAGCCTGAGGATTTCCACGTTAACAGATTCCATGTGCCTCTGTAGTCCCTTGCCGCGTGCTGGAAGGGTCGGGTTTCCTGGGGCAAGGAGGGACTTGAAAAGCACCCGTCACCCTAACAGGGTAAGGTGGTTAAGGGAGAGGCTGACGTGGAGCAGAAAGGGCACTGAACTGGGTGTCTGGGGATGGAACTGTCATTTCGTCCTCCACCACTTCCTGAATCTGGGACCTCGAACGGGTCTTTTAGGGATGACTATGCGGGGAATTTTGGGTGAGAGAATCTTGGCTACGGTGGAATTGGAAAACCTGTCCTGTCTGTGGTCTGAGGCTCCCAGTACTGCCAGACAGAGTCCTGCCCCACACAGAGTCCGAAGGGGCCTTAGACGATCAGCCAGGCCATTTCCCAACCAGTGTTGAACAGTTAATTGCTAGAGAGTTCTTCTTAATTTTTCTGTCTCTCTTCATTTCTGTCTGCTGGTCTCTGCTCTGCCATTGGGAACCACGAAGACTGGACTTTCAAAGACTCTTCCACATGCCTCGCTCTCTTTGCATTTGACTCTGCCTTTCTTTTTTTGTGTAAATTCTCACGAGAGACTGACGCTGCTCACCTGTCCATTCACCCCCTCTGTGCTGGAAAGGGCTTTATCACCTCCAGTGTCTGCCCCGCTGGCTGCTCTCTCAGCCTACCCGGTCTTCAGCAGAGAATCATTCGGCCACTCCTTCTTTGGTGAATATTAAAAGCCTCCTTTGCGACAGGCACCGTGCTAGACTCTGGGATATATCAATGAACAAGAAAGATAAGGTCTGTGTCTTTTTTAGGACAAAAATAGGTTTGGATCCGTGAAAAGAGTTTGAAATATGCATTGAGCTACTTCTGTGTGCTCCTTCACTCTTCTAATTTTTTCCATCAGAACTTGAAAAAAATATGTATTCATTAATTATTGGATATAGTTTTCTATATATGATCATTGAGATAAGTTAGTTCATTGTGCTATTCAAGTCATCTGCAATATATCCTTTTCTGATTTTGTCTGATTAATCTATCAGTTATTGAGAGGTGTATTAAAATTTCCCACTGGATTTGTCAGTTGCTTCATACAGTGCTGAAATTTTTGCTTTGTATATTTTAAGGCAATGCTATTTGGTGTGTAGATGTTTAGAATTGGTATATCTTATTGACGAATTGGGATTTATTTCTATCTTTATATGCTTTTAATTTTTTTTGCTTTTTCTTTTAGATTGAGGTGTTCTCCACCACCCTGCCCAATTCCATTTTTATCTTCTTATTTGGAATTTACATGCTTAATGTCTTTTTCTTCAGTGATTATCCCAGTTATTTATTTTTTTAGAGATGGGGTCTTGCTATGTTGCCCAGGCTAACCTTGAACTCCTGGGCTCAAGTGATCCTCCCACCTCAGTCTCCTGAGTAGCTACCCAACTATTTTAAGTATTTTAACATGCATACTTAAAGTCTAGAGTTAATCAGTATCTTTCCTTTTCTTCCAGACAATACAAGAACTGTAGACTGGTTTAATTCTAATCACTACTTTTCCCAGTTTATACACTATTGTTATCCTGTGTTTTCCCTTCTACCCTATTTTTCCCTACACATTAGACATCTTGTTTTTATGTAAATATTTGTTTATATTTATCATATATTTTTCTCACCATCGTTTCATGAATTTGAGATTATTTTCCTTCTGCCTGAACTAAATCCTTGAGCATTATCTTTTAGTGAGGGTCTGTTGGTGGTAAACTCTCTCAAAGTTTTTCTGTTTTGGTTGGGTTAGGTTTTGGTTTCAGCTGGTTTGAATGCCTTTTGCTCTCAGTTTTGAACGGTAGCTTTCCTGGATGTTTTCTATTAGGTCATTGAAGCTGTTACTCCACTGCCTCTGGCTTTGAATGTCGCTGTTGAGAAGTTGGCTCTCAGTTTAATTGCTGTTCCTTTATAAGTGATCTGATATTTCTTTCCGGCTGCATTAAAGATTGTCATTTTCTTTGGTGTTCTGCAACTTTATTACCATGTGTTTCAGTGTAAATTTCTCTGTCTTTCTTTACTCTGTTTGGGTTTCATTAGGATTTCTACAGCTAAAGATTTGTATCTTTCAGAATTTCTGGAAAATTCTCACTCTTCACTTTCTTTGAATATTGCCACTTCCCCATTCTCTCTAATCTCTCCTTCTGCAACCCCACTTAGACTTACATTAGACCTTCTCACTCTGTTCTCTGTATCTCTTAATCTTTATATTTTTCATATCTTTGTCTCTGATGAACTCTGAGTAATTTCTTCAGATCTATCCTCTATTTAATTTATTCTGTGTCATTTTTTTTTTCTACCCCACACCTATTCTGTGTCTTAAATGCTGTTGGTTTAATCCATCCATTGAATTTTTTTCTTTTCACTTCCTTTATTTGTCATTTCTGGAAGTTCTGGGTCCATTATTTTTCAGATCTCCTTGGTGATTTTTCTGGTTTCTTATTTCTCACTCCTATTTGAAGACTTTTCTTTCTTTCAAATATCGAATTAGCTCTTTAGAAATTTTGTAAATTTATGTCTGGCAATTCCAGAGTCTGAAGTCTTTGAAGGTCTAATTGTGCCATCTGTTGTTTCTGCTATTCCCTGTGAGCTGCTCATTTTCCTTGGAACTTTATCTCTGGGAATTATCTGAGGTCTGGGTTGAAGTTGGTGTTTTCAGAGAGGATTTGTATTAACTTCTGCTAGTTGTCTGGGGGGCACTACCAGCCAGAAATTACCTGAAATTAATTTTCTACTGAAGACTTGACTGGGTTCAAGTCTTCAGTAGAAAATTACTGAAGTTATGTTCCCTGGGTGAACCCAGGGAACATAACTCAGACTCCCAACTTGTGTAAAGTTCAGCTTATGATTATAAATTTTCAGGAGAGGTATTCCCCCCCCCCTTTCTGTCCAGCCCAAGGTCAAGTTCCCTGACAGTGCTCTTCTGTGTTGTGCATTCAGTTCTCACTCACCAAGAGTGGAGACATTTGAAGTCCCAACTTTATGTAGGGGTCTCCCTAGGCACTATCATTGGGAAACAGAATCTCCAGTGTTCAGTAGAAACCCTCAGAGCAGAGGCCAGCTTTGGTGCTAGCTCATCTCCCAGGGCTCCTGCTTTTGGCTTGTTTTAGTCTTTGTGGAATGTTTCCATTTGTACCATCTCAACAAATGTGTATTCAATCTTCGTTAATCCAGCATGTTAGTTGTTTCAAAATTAGGAAAGTCGAGTAGGGTATCTGGTCTGCCATATTGCCAGAAAATATATCTTTTTTCCTCGCCACAATAGCCCTGTTGGGCAGGAATATATATACCTTTTTCACGGAAGAGTGAACCAAAGCCCAGAGAGGTTATGTAACTGGCTACAGTCACAGGCCCAGCAGGAGAAGGACTGGGAGAGAGTGTGTCCCTCTCCCATCTTCCCTTCACACCATCCTTCTCCCCAAGATAACTGTTGACCATTGGGAACGAGCTTTATACTCACAAAGGATATGAGTTTCTACCAATAATGCTTTAACTAGCTGGACAGCTTTGTAAGATTTGTTTATGAATCTACTGTTTATCTTCCTTGAGAGAGGAAATGGCTTCTGCATGTTTTGTGGCTGGTTTCTCCAGCGACCACCGGCAACTTTCCTGCTTGGATTCCACTCTGCTCAGTGCACACTGCTCTCTCCTTCTTCCCACCGTCTTCCCTTCTCCCTCTCTCGGTCGGTCCTCCCTGCTGTCAGTGTTCTTGTTTCCTGGTGGTGTGCCTTCATCGGAGGGGAGGCTACAAAGCACAGTGGTTTGGCTTTGGGGGCTTTGGGGGACAGGGAGAAGGAGCTGAGTTTGAATCTGGCTCTGCCACTCACTGGCCCGAGCTCTTCGAGCTCAGCGTCTTCGTCTGTAACATGTGGACGACAGCCAGTTCAAGCACTGGATGAAGCACTGGATGCGATGGTGCGTGTGGAGCCTGGACGCCCTGAGCGCTTGGTCGGTGGTAGTTACTGTTATGACTGGGGACACACTGCTTCGAGGCCTGTGCTCTTATTTAGTGATGCTTTTAAACTGACAAAGCTGGTTTATAAAATGGGATGAAAAATGGAGACAGAAGTCTAGTGTAAATGTGGGGCTCCCCGCCCCATTATTATGTTTTTCAAACTGGGGTGTTTATAAAAATAATCTGAGAAGGTAGAACACACTGGTCTGGCCAGTGTTTGTGGAGGACAGAAGCCAGGGCAGGGTCCTGGAAATGGGACCGAGCCCCCAGGCCCCCGATCACAGCCCTCCCTCCGAGCTGTGCCCTGTGTTGTCGGGCCATGTGGGCCTGGAGCTGCACACCACCACCCGCCCTGGAGGTCCTCCCCACACCCCATGGAGCCTGGGGAATGGGAGACGGCTCGGCTGCTCTGCAGACACATTTCCGGTAGGTGATGGGGCCGGGGAGAAGGGACCTTTAGTGTCCGTTTACCTCCACTCTTTGAGCTGGCATCAGACTTTACACATCACGTGCTCCCTTCATGTCACTCCCAGATTTGGATCGCTTCCTGATCAACTGTCTATCCGGCAACATCTCTTTTTTCAGCACCTGCTATTGAAAGTGACTCAGGGCCCTGTGCAGTGGGCAGGTGGCTTAAAAAATGCATGAAGTTGCTGTGAACCTAAAACAGCTCTAAAAATTAAAGGCTATGAATAACAAAAAGACTTTATAACCAAAAAAAAAAATGCTTTAAGGATAAAACATCTTATAAGATTGTCAGGTATTCAGGGTGGGCACGGTGGCCCATGCCTGTAATCTTAGCACTCTAGGAGGCCGAGGCAGGAGGATCGCTCAAGGTTAGGAGTTCGAAACCAGCCTGAGCACGAGCGAGACCCTCTCTCTACTAAAAAATAGAAAGAAATCAAGTGGCCAACTGAAAATATATATAAAAAAAAAAATTAGCCAGGCATAGTGGTGCACACCTGTAAGTCCCAGCTACTCGCGAG